ATGAATTGATTCATTCTTTCAAAAAAAATTTGAATTATTACACTGATAAGACAAGACAGGGTCAATATTTCACCTATGAAATATGACTTTATCAATTTAAAAGAAATTCCCGAACAATGAATCAATCATTATAGTTAGTTTCTCCTTCAATCAGATCATAATCATTGATTGAAGTAGTGATTCGTGATGCTACTAGTAGTCTCAAGTGTGCTCTTTTGAATAGAATATATATATATATATACATACACCTGTACTACATTGAGTCGATCTAATTTCACTATCTAAACAAACGGACCGAGTAAAGAATAACGAGTTGAATCACAGGCATATGTGATTTTTTTTATTCGCTTCTTGAGCAAAAGAATATTGTATGTTTATTTTTCTATGTCAATAATTTATGAATGCCGCCATCACACATTGATCATGCATGATGATAACTGAAATAACATATCGACTGTAAATCATTTATGCTTAATTCATCTAGTGTAAATGTGTAACACAATGTGTGGATACGATAGTTGACCTATCTTTAACTATTTGTACTTATTTTATACTGCTTTGTTTTTTGTATATAGCCTATGACTCTCCAACGACAAGAAATCAAGGAACGCTTAGATGCCGGACCACATAATAAGACAATTGTCGATTTAGATGAGATCATCGAAAAATGGGTAAGTTGAAAGATGTCCTGTAGTGTATATAATAATGATAATTTACATATGGAAAGAGACTAAAACGCAGCAGGTGTGCATATATAACATTGTTTTACTCATTGATCAATAGACTGAACATAATCGAATGATGACTATTGTGTCATATGGATAGACATTCAAAATTTAAAAAGAAAAAAGAAAAGAATATGATTATATGTTTTTTTTTAAAAACTATCGTCAAATTTACTTTTCAAACAAAAAAGAAAATCTAATAAGAGAATAATGTTAAGTAAAATTATCATAATTGAATAAAGAAAGAATACATGCTTTACTGAATATTGCTGGACAGGGAACTACTCGAACCGTTACTCACCATTTGAACTCATATTGAGTTCAGAAGAAAGCAGTATTTTACATAGATTTTCCCTTCTGGAGTTGAAAATTTCAGGAAAGTGAACATCGGTTTTTTTTTGGGAGTATAGATACAGAATACATGCTACATTAAACACTAATGTCTGAAGGGCGTCATTCTTTTAATTCTCAAGCTGTATAAAAACACTGCAAGAAAGTCTTGACAAGACTAGAGAAAGCTGCAAAGAGCTCGTGTTCACAGAATTCTCAAGTCGAGCTGTGACTGCTTTAGTAAAATTTCGACCCATTATTAGGTATTTACTGGAAAGTCAAATAATAGAATTTCAACATTTAATTTAGCTTATAGATAGATCTAATGCACCTTCACATATTCTTTTGTCGAGATTTTGAGTTTCCAAAACAAATGATTGTTTGTCACAAAATAAAGTTTGCTTAAAAATTCAATATCTTCCAAGAAGGGGTATGCCAAGAGTCATTAGAGGTATGTATGAATTGAATTTCAGGTTGAAAATTCAGTAAAATGGTCATTGCTGGCTATTGATAAAATATGCCCTAAGCCACACTGAACTTCATTTTACTTGACACTTATACCAGTCGATAGAAATTCAGATTCTGAGTTTACTAGGACTCTACTCTAAGCCAAAAGCTCAAACAATGAAACATTCAGAAAAATGACGTTAGCTGAAGTTGTAGTAAATGTCCGATGCCTCTAATCAGCTCAAAATATGTAGCAAAGCTACATTTGATTCCATATTTTTAACATGTATTTTATTGAGGTTTTAGCTCAGCGCAGAGTTCACTAAACTCAGAATTTCAAGCTCTATCGACTGGTATATATTTCAAGTAAAACGGCACTCAGAGTCGATCAGCATATATATTATCAATACTCATCATAATTCTCCTTCAAAGACCCATGGAATTGAACTCTTTTAAAATTTTTTTCTCGTCTTTAGGGTCCTGCGGGAACGACTTTTTCCCGTGTTTTCCCGTCCCGTTTCCCGCGGGAATCGGGAACGGGAATTCCCGTGAGACCTTAGGAACGGGAATGCGGGAACGGGAATTCTGGTGGACACTCCGGGAACGGGAACACGGGAACGGGAATTGTATTAAAAATTTCTGTTCCCGGCAAACCCTATGTCCGATTTCTGTTTGCATTAAAATCTGTTAATCTTACAGTATTCGATTTCCAATAACCATTTGAAATATAATTGAAAAGAGAACAAATATCAGTGAACAAAATCAGACAAGTTCATTCAAACATAGATTATGAGAATCACGATATTCTTTACCACCATCGTCGTCGTCGGCATCGAAGTTGGGATCATCAAGATTACATATATGTCAAACTTGAAACTTGAATTCAATTGAAATTTCAAGTTTCAACTGAAATTTCAAGTTTCAAGTTTCAATAGGTTTATGAGCCTGGAATCAGAAATTTACTTTTAATATACGGAATCTTGTATTGTGAGAAACATGATGTCGCTAAAAGCTAGTATCAAGTAGGAGTAGTGTTGATGAATGTGAATAATGAAATCATTGTAGCTATTCTCAAAGCATTACGGGAACGGGAATACGGAACGGGAACGAAACTTTTGTTACGGGAACGGGAATACGGGATCGGGAACGAAAATTTTTGTTACGGGAACGGGAACGCGGGAACGGGAACAAAAATTTTCAATACGGGAACGGGAACACGGGAACGGGAACCAAAAAAAGTTGTTCCCGCAGGTCTCTACTCGTCTTACCAAAACCTCATTATGACTCTAATACGATTTTCAACAATATATTTACATTTGAGGATGATTTCCTCGTGAGATGAACTGATGACACGAAAACAAACAAATCATCATCATCATCGATTTTTCATGCGTCATATTGATTTTATTAGGATATAGTTAACTTAATTTTATTTTATTTTTTATAAATTATTGATTAGGTATGGAAAATGTGGGAACTATCAAAACGTAGTCGAGAAGAATCAAAATATCGTCGTGAAGAACTTGACATAAAACTAAATTGGAAACGTGTAAATTTTTGGCAATCAGAAGCTACATTTACTCGTTCAGCTCAATTACGTATGCCTAAATCTCAAATATTATTTAAAACACATTTCTCAAATAATACTGATCGTGAACAAGAATATTCATTACGTGCTCAACGTTCAACAATAACAACATTAAATTTTATATTTATGCGTGGTTTTACTAAAGAAAAAGAAGGTTGTGTAACTTTTAAATTACCAAATGAAGTTTTAGAAATTGGTGGTGGTCTTCGACATGAACAACGTGTTGAATATGGAAGAGATTCAACATTTGAAACACAAATGACATGGTCAGCAGATTCAACTATTCGTGTTTCACCACATTCAAGAGCAAATGCTGAGTAAGATTTTTTTTCTTCTTTCAATATAAATTTGGTTGATTGTCCTTTTTTTTTTTTTTCCTTAGATTATGTATAACAGAAGAAGAATATTCAGCTGATTTTTCAATTGAAGTACGTTTTAGTGGTCGAATATCAGCAATGATTAGTACACGAAATAATACAGGTGGTTATTATAAATATATGGAAGGTGATTTAGCAACAATATTTTCTGATGCATTACGTTCAGGTAATTGTGGTGCGAGTCCTGGTCAATTTGAAGTGCATGAACAAACACAAACAGTTCGAACAATGATGTTAGGTAAATGTGCATTTCGATATGGTATTGAACAACATGTTAATGTTGAACAAGGAAAATTAGCTGATTTATCATCAACGGTAACTAATGAACCACCACCAAAATATCGTCCAGTATTTACATCACATAATATTCATTGAAAAAATCAATTTGTATATGATTTTTTGTTTGTAGTTATCATGCTTTTTTGTTTTTGAAAAAAAGACAAGATGAATATGCTTGCTTGAATGTTTATTTACTTTTTAATATCGGAATGCAAACAAAAAATATACTTCAATTGAAAATGAAAATTTTCACTAAAAAATTTTAGTTATCAACAGTAAAATATGTTGCATCAAGAAGTCCAAGTCGATTATCAGTTACATATTGTTGAAGTGGAAAACGTAAACGTTGTTCACGTCCGATTTTCTTTTCGGGTATTTTATCTATTGATTGATAAAGTAAGAATATGTATCGATGAGGACCAGAACCAGCTGGAGGTGCAGGTCCATTGTATGAATCTATTTATAAATATAACATATAATTTTCAAAATACAATCGTTCAAAATATAATTTACATAATGTATGACCATCTGTAAGATTATTATGTTGAAAATTAGCCACAAGCCAATGAAGAACAGGACCTTTGACAGCATCATCACGACTTGGTGCATCTGGATCGACCATAATCTTAATTGGAAAAAAAGAAGTAAATAAAAAAAAAATAAATAATGTAAAATTATTACCAATGTTCGAAAAGTTGAATCATCGATATTTTCGACTTCAACTTTTGGTTGTGATTGAGTTTCTTCTTTACTCAAAATATTATTACCATCAAGACTTTCATTTTCACGATACTGTATAATAAAATCTTGTTTTCTTTTTCGATGAACAGGTCTAACTTCATCTAAATTTTTCAGCACATAGGCAACATCTGAACTCACACTTGCACTCATATTTATAATCCGTCAAAAAAAAATGAATCTAAAATTTAAAATTCTACTGCTTACTTTGTTTTATTGAAAAGTATTTGACCTGTAGTATATATATTTTTTTAGTTTTATTTTTCCTATACTCTCTGTGCGTAAATCATTGTGCACGCATTGACCCTACATGATACCTTATGTTTCTTTTTTTTGTCAATAGTAACTAGACAACAAATAAAATGAAAGAAAACATACACAAAAAACTTTTGCAGGATTAATAATATATTAAGTCTACAGTTCTATAGATATTTGTTTTTAGAAAATCAAATAAAATTCATGTTGAAAGATAAATCTTTGAGATAGAATACATGTTCATATTTTTATATGTTAAAATTAACCAATAACAGTATATGATGTTGCAGCAACTAATTGTAAATGAAGATCTTTTTCAAATTTTTTCAAATGATATTGTTTTCGTTTTCCTGAATCACTAACAGCAATCGATTCACCATGATGAGGAGCAGACGTAGCTGATTTATACAATAAGAATACATATTGATGTGGACCTGTACCAGATGGTGGTGCTGGACCTTGATAATCAGCTATGAAATATAAATAGAATTCAATAGATTATAATTTTCTATAAATATCAAAATAATATACCAAGAGTTTTGCCACTGTTTATATCATTTCCTACAAAACCAGCTTTAATCCAATGTAACCATGGACCAGCACGTTCATTACCTCGTTGAGGAGCATCCGGATCAATCATAACCTACATAATAATAATCGATAATAACAATAAAAAACAAAGCAAACACAAAAATTTACTAATGTAAAATGAGAATTAAGTGGATCAGCATCAACATTAATTTGAACTTTAGGTTCAACTTGAGTATCACCTCGTTTTAATTCATCACCATCATGAAATTGTTTATTATGATATTCAATTATAAGTGCATTATTTTTACTTTTGCCAGCATTGTATTGTTCTCGAACATGTTCAACATCAGAACTTATACCTGCCATGATTATTTCAGATGCAAGAGAGAAAAATAATAATAGTATGAATAAAATACTGTTTGTATAGAAAGTCAGCCTTTTATTTTATTTAATACGTAGAAGTATAGCGATTTTTATATACTATGAATTCAAGGTCGTAACCTAATTTTTCAAGTATAACAGAATAAACGACTATCATGGCTGCTAGAGAAAATAAATAAATAGTACTAGAGATGGTGCACTATGACGGTGGGTAATTAATATGAATTTGAAAATTTTGAAAATTATTACAAATGTAGTTTTCCTCTTCTTTTTGAACAATGAATATAGTAAATAAAAAAAGATCTTTCTGTGTAAAAGCAAATTTTTATCTAATGAGAAATAATATCGATTGTATTTGTTTTCAAACATTTTTTTATGCATATTTAAGATTGTTTTGTTTTGTTTTTCTTGTTCATCTATAATTTGACTTAGAAAATATAATTATTTATTGAAAACATAGTCTTTGATTCAAAATTAAGTTTTGAATCTTCAATCTTTTAAAACACTAATAGATAGCGAATATTTTTCAAATATTTGATAGGTTGTTTAGCCGATTCAATTCATGAAGAATTCCTTATTGAAAAAAAAAAGCAAATCTGAATGAATTTAGAAAAGCTTAATATTCGAGAAAGTTATCATTAAGGTACTTAAGAGAAGTCAACAGACTCATCGAAAATACAGAAATAATTGAAAAGACTATTAGTTAGTTTTCCGTCTGTCTTCTATTATCATATGAAAGAGGTGTTGCTACTTCAAAATTTTCTAGAGACATTCTGTTTCAACGAGTAAAGAAAAAATAAATGTAGTATTTTATCTGTAAATTTAAAAGTAATGTAGCGCTGACATCAGGCCCGTAGCCAGGAATTTTCTGAGAGGGGGGACTGAACATGGCCAAAAAAATTTTCCTCTGGACGAAAATAATGTGCCCGTACCCCCCTCCAGGGAATTTTTCTCCTGAGGGGGAGGGCTAAAGCTCCCTCAGCCACCCCCTTCCCTACGGCCCTGGCTGACATACAATGTGAAGTTATAAACCACATATTTTTTTCTCTCCATTCATCCAATATTTTTTACTAACTACAGTCTTTGTTCGATTTTTTTGTCTTTCTTTTGTTCTTTTTTTTGTATTGCATTTTTGTTCTTCATATCTATATTTTTTGTTTTCTTTGACTCTCTCCTATTCTTCATTATTTTTATTATTCAACAATTGTACTGATAGTATTTATCAAATGACAGTAATGCTAAAACACAATAAAAAAAAGAAAAAACTAGAATATGTTTTGATATTATTTCGTCACGATAGTAAAATTGATTTTAACAATTAGTAATAATGAGTGAAAGCTTGAGAATTCTGAAAGTAATTTCTATTAAATTTTATGTCATAATTAAACATACGTAAGATTCTTTTTTTTTTATCAATTCATAATATCGAGAAGATTTTACTTTTGATCTTTTTCTTCTAGTCTTTTAATCTCATAAATTTATATTTAGGAATGATTTGTTTAATCACTCCTTCTGAAAGAATTTGTTTTGTTTTATCATCATACTTAGATCTTTGCTAGAAAACACTACAGATCATATGATGGTATGATATTACTAACGATCATGAAATTGGATGTATGAAAAGTTTGAAAGTAAATATGTGTGCAGGAAGAATGTGACACAAGCTTTTCAAATTTATACATGTTTAACAAAGATGGCAATGAATTTATACAGAAATTTAATACTTATTTAAATGCTCAAAACCATTATTAATGTATATTGAGTTTATAAATCAATGTTCATTTCTTTTCCAACTAAATAAATATGAAAGATTAACTAGATTGATATTAGCAAACGGTAGATACTGTGTATAAATAACTACTCAAATAAAAACAAATATAAGAAATACGCAATAATAATTAAAAAAAAATTAAGATAAGATATATATTACGCATACTAAAATGAAACATCACTTGTATTTGTTAATAACTGTCGTCTCCTAAAATTGCGTTCATTGTTACAGGTCGTGACCTATACATCACCATATACATAATAAATATTATACAATTATTATTCCATGCAAAAAACATCATAATATCGAGCTGAATTTGAAGTCAAAGAACTATACTGTTTCATTAGATTGGAGACACATTCAAAACGGAGGTTGAAAGAATCGATTGTCTCACATAGATTTGAATTTGTGAAGAAGCATACGAATTGATTAGTGTTCAGATGCTTGAAAGTGCGTAATTTCAATGATGGTTCGTTCTTGTTACCTTGATATATGATTGGATGTATGCTTCGCAACAGATAATATCAAATATTGATAAATTTGTATCAATCATTTCGTTTTTCTATTACGTATTGTCTACATGACCGAACTTGAAACACACTTTACTTATATTATTTACATATATCAAAACACTATACTAAAAAAAAGTATTTTTGCGTTCAGATTCGCAAACGTTAGTATAGAATGAATAGAAAAAAATTGGGACGACTCATGTGAATATACAAAAAACAAAGAACGAAAAATAATTTATACAAAATGCATTACCTTTCCTATATATACTGAATTCGATTCTTTATACGAACGCTATAATCATAAGTCAATGTACTTAATGAAAACTAACCGCTGTTTGGATTTTAGCAATTATATTTTCAATTCATCAATGAAAGCAATGCATTCATGTATTCGTGATGATTCTCGATTATCAAGAGCTCAAGAACATGAGTTGATTTTAGTTTGTACTGGTGTATATGATCCAAATGTACACAAGATTATCATAGAACACTCTTGAACAATACCAACAACAATCCAATATGATGTATTCGATCCTTTAATTTCAATACTTCGATTAAAGAACAATGCGTAGCAAAAAAAAAAGACATTTTCTTTTATTGTAATCGAATTAAAGTTTATCTCAAAATAAAATATTTTTATACGTTTTGTCGAAACATATTAACACCAAGTTGTTGAAATATGAGATATGGATTGGTTGAGGAATCTTTTATCTGTTTGCTACTCTTTTAAATACAATATATTGTTGAGTTCATATATACATATTTATTTATTAATAATATAAATGTATCATACAAAAAAAGAAATATGTAGATAACTAAAACCAATCGGATGCTTCCTATATCTAATCAATAGAGATTAAATAGGTACATTGAAAAGTATTATTCATTTTTGTTTTCAGGTGAATTAAATTTCAGATAGATAAATGAATAAAGAATAGTTCTAAAGATATATTATTTTTGAATATTAAGCATGAAAGATTAATAAGTTAACGTATAAGATTTAGTCTTTTTCTTTAAAAAACTAAAAAAAATCATTATACTTTTTTTGTTTTTTCTTTGTTTTCAAGAACGGTTAAATTTTATTTTTTTAGTATGTTTCTCAATATAAGACACGTAGGATGTTCTCTTTTATTTTTGAAAATTAATTGAAAATTCTTCTCTAACTACTAATATAGTCTATATCATAAAAAATTTTGAATTATGTGAGAATGAGAAAAAAACTTGACTCATTTTAAGTATTGAATTGACTGCAAGATAAATTGAAATATTTGATCAGTCAATAAAAACAAAACTTTATAATCGACTTGACTCGATTTGTTCATTCTCTTCGATAGATAATGTTTGAAAATTATTATTTATTCTTTTTTGTCTCAATTCAATTAATGTTTCCATTAAAACAGTTTCTAATGATTGACATAGAATTTCTTCATCTTTATCATTAGTTAGATGCAATTGTAAATTATCTTCGTTATTGATATCAAAGAAACTACTTGAATCAATATCATAATCAGTAAAATTTGTTATTGATGATGAATTTGTAACAACACCGGAATCAGATTGATTATCATTGACTTGAAATTTTTCATGATGAAAATGATTACGTGCACGATAGAAAATTTTTAATAAATATCGATCAGTATTATTTGTTGAAGATAATCTAATAAATATTAAAAGAATAAATCAAATAAATTTATATGCAAAAAAAATAAAGAAATAAAATTTTACTCGTGCTTATTATTAATATTCATTGTTGTTTCTAACCAAAGATCAATTGGATATTTATCTTGTTGTTGTAATGATGATGTTTTTATTTGACCTTTAGAATTAAATCCAGTTGTTGAAATTTTTAATAAACGTGTTCGTTTTCTCATAGATTTTTCATCATGTAATGTTGAATGATCTTTTAAATACCATTGAATAAATTCTTCTTTTGATATACGTCCATCTTGATTAATATCCATTGTATTAAATGCTTTTTCATATAATAAACTATCTTTAATACCAGGTTTATATTGACCAAGAAATTGTGCTGCTAATTTTTTTCTTGAATTAAATTCTTTTTGAGTTATATAACCTTGATTATAAATATCAAAAAATTTAAATAATGTTTCTATTGTACGTAAACGATTAGCACCATTTATAGATGATAATGCATAAATAAATTCATTAAAATCAAGTTCTCCATCATGATTTTGATCATATATATCAAACATCATAGAAAAAAATTTTTTACTATGTCGATAATTTTGTAAATTTTTAATAATATGAATATTTGATTGATTGGATTTTTGTAAACATGATTTTCGTATAAAAGTAAGAAATTTTCGTTTTGAACAACGTCCATTAGGACAATCATGAAAAAATGCTTTTCGTGAACAATCTATTTCATTTTGAGAGAAACCTAATTCATTATCATAATTAACTGCCATGTTAGTTTTTTTACACAAACATATACTAGGGTTTTTATTTTTCATATATGCATCAAACGAATGATAGTAGAATATATTTATTTATATTTTTTTCTTGTTTAATTAGTTTTGAATAAGACAAAAAAAAACAAGTCAAGCATAGAAGATATGACCCGATGTTTTTCATGTGACTTGTTGTCATTGTAAAGTGCACTCATCGATTACCTGAGTGACTATTGCTTCTGACGTTGACAAAATAAATGGTACGCCTCTGTATATTGCTAAAAAAAGTATAAACAACATTGTCGGCAAAAAACTTGTTTAGCATGTATTCAATTAAAAAGGTGAAGCAAATAAATGTGTGACAACAATCACTGACCGACGATTGCTTAATTTTTTCTTTACTTTGAAGATGAACAGGATTACGAAGTGTCACTATTTTCATATGTCAAACGGGATATTTTTTTACATAAATCATTATCATAAAACTATCGTCTCTTGATAAAATCAATACAAGAAAATTAAGTGATAAAGTTTCATTTTAAGAAATTTATGTTTCTATCGATGATGTAAAAAAGATTACTTAATTCTTTTTTTTATTAATAAAATAAATTGGATGCCATAAAAATGATCAATTGACTTTTACCTTGAAAACGAATATAATTAATTTTCTTTTTCTTCGAGTGTTAGAAAATCGAAATAAGAATAATTATGAAGCAAATCAAATGCCATACATGGCATGTATTTTTTTTATCATATAGGTTTTTTTCAACATTGTATGATACTTTGAAACCTGTATTATGTAACACATTGTTCGTTTTTTTTTTTCGTTGTTTGAATTAATTTAAAGAATAGTGACACGTTAGGTATTCGTATTCATGATTGATCTTGAAAATGACGACAAATTTTACATATCCTTCACAATAAAAAAAAAAAAATCACTTGTTGAAAGAGGAAACATTTCACACGATATTGACATGTACATTTATACATACATGAGCTCATCTACAGCCCATAAGCAAACATTGCCTCGTGTGTACATTTATTAAATACGCATGTGTGTGTATGTGCTTGAGTTCTACATATAAATGTAGACGTGACTCGGATCGAGTATTTGATTCTCTTTCTCTCATCACAATTTTTTAATGTTGGTCTCTTTTTTTTTTCAGTACTCACTTTAAATAGTGAAGTAGTCTATACATACATGAGATGTCTCGAAATATACATATCGTATAACTACATGTGTCATAAATATAGTTATTTGAATATTCTATTCTAGTTGTCATGACTGATGATCGATTATTTTATTCATTAACAGACTCTTCTTTACTCGATACTTATCTTCTATATGGTATCATTGGTTTACTTATTTTCATAGCATTTATTGGTTTAATTGTACTTTTGACAACATCATGTTGTTGTTTCTATTCCATATCATCGTGTTATTGTTCTTACCCTTGTCGCCGACATTCATCATATAAATTAAATGAAAGATTTCAAAAGCAAGAAAATACAAAAAAGAATACTTTTATAAAACGTCATTCAAGTGATATAACTGATTTTTCGCATTTATATGAATCGTATCCTCATTTAATCAATAGTAAAACTATGTTAACAACAAAAATTAATAATAAAAATTCCGATACAAGCTGTACAACAATTGATACACTTATTAATCCAATATCTCCATGTAGTTCATTTCGTTCATTAAACCAACCAGGTAGTATTATAAATTTAAGATTTTTAACAAATAATTTATTTATCTATTTCATAGTTTCACCTGTACAAATACCAGTTAATAATTCATTACCACTAAATATTGACAAGAATAATCTATCAACGACAGGTAAAAAAGAAAAAACGAAATTCTCTTTTCTTCATAATCAATATTATATCAATTATATCAGGTGTTGATTCCCGTCCTTTTGCTTATATAAAAAATCCAAATGATTGTACACAAATTTTACGACGACTTCCACAATGTGATCGTTCTATTTCACCATCTGTTGTATCTATTGATATGACACGAATATCATCATTTGAAAGTGACACTAATAATCAAACAAATTCTCCTTGTACAAATATTTATGAAACAGTAATTCCAATAACAAATAATAATTTATCATCCGAACAATCAACACCTATATATGAAACTGAATGGAAACATAGTTTAAAACAAATAATGATGAGTAAAATACCAACGATTGAAAAGAATGTTATTTCTGTAATTGAACTTCCATCATTACCATCGAATTTAGTTTCATCAAATCATTATTTTCAACAACAATATTTATATGAAAAATTTTTAGCAAATCGAACAAAAACATCTGATTCAATGCGACGAGCTACTATGCTCAAACGATTAAATGATGATGCAGCATTTCTTTACTAACAAATGATTTGTTTATTGGAATTTAATAATTGATAGGTCTTGATTTCTTTCTTTTTGTCGTGTTTTGATTAGTAAAAAAAAAAAAACAAGGTTTTAAAGAAAATTAGATATTTGAATCTTTCATTCAATTTTTGTTTTTTCTTTAAGTAAGAAAAAAAATATTTATTAAGTTTAGTTACAATGAGAATACACAAGCGCTTAACGATGGATAATAAAGTTTATTTACCTATAGACATAACCATGATAGTTGTCTAGATTTGTTTATAGATGAATTAGTCAGTGATATTTGAATCCAATTTAAGTCAAAACAAGATTTTTTAAATGTTCTTTTTTTTGTAAGGAGACTGAACTATTATGTTTGTATCGAGAGGCAACCAGCAGAGACTTCACTCCCTAAGTTTACTGTTTGAAAGATTAATTCATGTCGAACAACGTTAGTTTTTATAATAGTTGAATATATTCAAATCGAAATGTTTACTATGGTTTCTTTAATTTTTTTCAAAATTTCATTTCAAGTTAGAAACAGTGAATAAAGGCACATTGACTTATACATCTCTGGATCAGAGATGGAATCAGTCTGGTAGGCTATATTGAACTGGTCGTTTATCAGTACTGATTTCGTCTCTGATTTGAATCTATCTTATACTTTTGCATAGTATAATCATTTGACAATCGCAATTTATTTTATTGCACTCACTGGTTTTGTAGATACATAAATGAACATTGTTTGATGCAAAATTTTGTTTAAAGATGATGTTGATGACTAGAAAAAACGTTTATAGATTGTGACATGTTTATTAATCATCATCTTTCATTAGGATTATTAATAGATCATATACTAAATAAACTGAAAGTTTAAAAAAGTCATAATGTCGAATCTAACTTAGTTATTAAAGTGATTTCAATCGATGAGAAGAAAGAAACTCTGAGATTCGAGATATTTGCATAACAGTAATCGATCATTCAACATTAATATAAATACCTATACTAAAATGAATGCATTTATTGATATAATAATTTTATCAAATATAAATTATACAATGAAAATGATTGTCAAAAGAATAATTTTTCTTAATTAGAAATAATATTAATGTTTTCAGATTGTCGAATACCATTAACAAGACCTGTTCGTTTATTTCTAATTACCCAGTTGGATTGTATTTCAATCAAACCTGTACAATTTTGTTGTCCATCCATAATTCTTAAATCTTCAATAACACGTTCACTTCCATAATAAACATGTCGAACAATATCTTCTTTAAAACCATGACCTAAAGTAACACATTCAATATCATTTATCCATATTGTATGTCCATGATCCAAAGCAAAACTATATACTGCTTCACAAATAATATTCGTTGGAGACGAAACAAGTGAACAAGGTAACATCCATGTAACACCATTTAAACGAACTGGATGCCATGGTGTTATAATAAGACCAGTATCAAGCTAGATTTTTAAAGAAAGAAAAAACGACTCATTAAGTTACACTATAGAAAATCAAATACGTACTAAAACCATTTGTGCTTGTCCATTGTTACAGATTGTTTTTAAAACATAATTGATTGTACCACCATGTGGATATAATCGATCACCTCGTCGAATATCTTTTACAAATTTAATTGAACCATCAAAAAGTTTAACCGTACATGAACCATGAAAACATGGATTGTCTGAATTATTAAAAACAGACATATCAATAGTTGCACCAGAATTTGCTCGTTTTGGTGCTGGTAATTCACAAAATATAGCATCCATTTCATCTCGTATAGTATTAAATAATTGACCTTGTCCATAATGTTGAACACCTGGATCTTTAAAATTATTACATTGTTGAAGTAAATGAGCACCTAAAATAAAGTAAACATCATATTACTTATTGAATATTTGAAAATCAATATAAGACATACGTGTAATACTTGGTAAATAATGAATACCCCATTTTGAGAACCAATCATATCGAGAAAAAGCAGCTTTTATTTGACCTGTAAGATCTGTAAGTAAATCAGTTAAATAATTATCATTAGTTGAATGACTTTTTATTGTTTGTTCTAAACTTTCAATACTCTGTAATACGCTGGGTTGATTAGCAGTAAAATTGTGTACAGATCCACGTAATAATTCATAACCTTTACGAATAATATCAACTAATTCAAGTCGATATTTTTGTTGATTTAATAATTTAATATCGCCATTAAGTCTTTCTAACGATTTACATTGTTTCTTTTTTTGACCATGTGGAGACTCATAATCAAGTATTATTTCCATTTTATTATATTGATCCATTGTCATTGGAATAACAAGATCTTTACTTTGACCAAATGTAATTGATCCCAAATTCAAACATAAAGTAGGCCCCTCAAATAATTGTTGAAAGAAGGAACGCTTGATTATGTGAATAAAGAAAAAAGTGAAAAATGAAGAATGATAAAAGCCATAGGAAAGAAATTAATAATCTATAGTCTAATACAAAATTAAGAACACAAATATAAAAATCGAATAAAAATCATCTGTACACAGTTGGATATTATGGACGATGAATCGGTAGTTGTTTGATACTTAAACGATCGACTATCGTCTTACTATCATTCTACTAAAGTATTCCGATATGTAACTATGCTTTTCGTCGAAAATCACATCGTCGAATCAAAGATTAGACAAAAGCGCATTTATAAGTAATTCGGATGTTTTCATTGATGATTGTTATTTTGATAATGTTGGTTTCGGTGATGAAACTTACAGTCCTACTTCTATTAATAATACGACTTCGTATTTTGTGGAGCAATTTGGATGAATATCTCTCATTTTTTGTAACAGAATCTATTAAATTAAAGTATTATTTTTCATCTAGAAATGTTCATTATGATGATAAGAAAATTTGCTTTTGTTATCTTCGAAAGAAAATCTACGGTTTTCCCATTAAATATGTTTTAGTTTTTAAATTGATTCCAATTTCTTTTTTCAATAGATTGATACTATGTGAGCGGAAAGTTTTTGAGGTTACGTATTTTTTTACTGTTTACACGCTAGAAAATATTTCTGATAAATCACAAGTTGCTATAAACTGAAATACTTTTTTGGAATATAGACTTAGACATTTCATTGAAGACACACATCCCAATTTTTAGTTTCGAATCGCAATAGTAAAAATACAAACTTTTTCTATCCAAACTAATTTTTTGGAACTTTTCAAAGATTATTATACTACACTCGATTAAAATTTCTAAGCCTATATTTGAAAAGAGTACAAAGATTTAATCTAAAAACTTTCTAATAGCTCGTTATTATCCATTTGATTTATTTTAAATAAAGAGTTTCTATAAATCATCTTAACTGTTCTCATCGTAAACAACAACCCAAGATCAATTGGTATTTTTGCAAAGGATTTACGATGAGACACTGATTTTTTCCCACGGGATTCGAAAAAAAGGCCTTTTCATACTTTCTCGATTGTCGACTATTGAGATGGATTAGCCTATATTTTGTTATTAATCAATAAAGATTTCCATGTCTATAATTTGTTGAAGATGGAGTACTTCAATCTGCTATAATATTGAGCCATGGGGAAGCGTCGATTGTCTAGAACGATCTTAGCATGGATTGCTTCTCTATCGGTGAGTGTGATCGTGAAATTTTGAGGGGAAACGTCATTAGGATAAGACAATCGTTGGAGAAAATTTCAAAGCAAATGATTAAAATTAGTCGAACATATCGGTGACTTTTCAATGATTGTCATCAATTCTCATATGGAAATTACTCAAACAGTACTTCCTAAATCAGACACACTAGAACTATTTGACATGGAATTTTTATTGATGATAGAAACAGAACTAAACTATAGAATGGGAGATCTAACATCTTATGTTCAGATATCCTCGTCTGAAGAAAACATCTATGTCGCCCTTTGGGTTTCTTCACATGAAAACGGATCAAATCCTTGCATCAGAGTTTACAATACTCTATTTCTAATCAAATTACGAGACTAAAGGATAAAAGTTTAGGTATTTCTTATTCAATAGCGGAACTTTTTGCGACTACTATATATGAAATCTTGATATTCTTTATTTGTAAACATGTTAGAATAATAGTTGTATAAATCAATAAATTCTATTCGTACCTTATGATCAGATGCATCTGTTGAATAATGACAAATATAATTCGATGATGGATCAAGTGCTGATCGAATACCTCCAATTGTTAATTGTAAATTTGTTGCTGCTGTTATTAATAAATTTGAAATAGCATTAACAAATATTGTACCAACAAATGATCCATCCGGTATAAATGCATATGAACCACAATTACCCATTTGAGCAAGATCTTCTAATAATTTACTATCTAAACTATATCCAAAACCAAATGTATTAATTGAACATGTAAAATTAGTTTTAGTTTTATATGCAGCTAATGTTGGTAAATGTCCACGTGGTGGATCAACATTTGGACAACCATCTGTGAGTAAAAATAATGCAACATTACTTTCTGTTTCTCGTTTTCCGTCGGCTAAAACTTTTAAACCAGTTCTTAGTCCGTCCCATAAATTTGTTTGTCCATTATCTTCAAGTCTTTCAAGAGCAGCTAATGCACTTGAACGACCATCATTATCCATTTGATGTAATGTAAATAAAATGGTTGCACTATTTGAAAATGAAACAATTGATAAACGATCATTATGTGTTAATGAATGAATTATTGTTTTTAACGCATGTTTAACAAGATCTAATTGTGATAAACCATATTTTTCTTTATCATTTGATGTTCCTTGAATTTCAACTTCAGTACCCATTGAACCCGATGTATCAACAACACAACATATATCACATGGAGCACGAATACCAATACCTTCAGGTGGCTGAATTGATATATGAGCAAAATCATTCAACCAACTACTCGTTACTTTTAAATCAAATGATTGATTACTAACGATAGGAATAGGATTTTTTTTTGTAGTAACATTGGATGATGATTGTTTACTTCTATATTCTTCAATACTTTCACGTAATGCACGATTTGGACGAAGATCATTAAGATGAAGAGGAGTACGAGTCTAATAATTAAATTATTGGACAAACAAAAAAAATTTTGGGTTTTTTTTAATAGTAAACTTACAATAGGTGAAGTTGAATGTTGTTTAAGCCAATCGTTAATCGCTGAACGTTCATAACTATTTCCATCAGGATCAATAACTGGATCAATCATTAATTCATGTGTTATTGGACAAAGAAAACTCGCTGGTATATCAGCCATGTTTTTCTCAAGTATTCAGTTTGATTAAAGTAACACAACGTAACAAAAGAAAAAAGAAAATAAATATATTACTCTCGTGGACGAGAACAGAACAGAACAGAACAGAAAAGATAAATATTTGTTGACTAGCGCAGAAAAAAAGCAGAGCAAGAAAATGTGCTAACGACGTCACCTAAGCAACCTTTTATGTATTTCTTTCATCGGCGTCTGGTTATAAATATGATGATTATGAATAATTGCTGTAGATGAAAAAGAAAATAAAACTTGATTAGAAAAATATCAATGATGCTTGTCTCTTGTCATTGACTATTTATATTGCTATGTCAAAATCATTTTTATTAAATTGCATTTGTGATTTGTTATTCATGCCAAATCAACCAAGAAAAAAAAATTAAAAAAATATGCTGTTTCTTTCGCATTGGCATTTGCAAATACATTTCAAGGTGAATATTATATTTACCTAAAAATAACTTTATTCTTTTTGTTGTATGAAGCTTAATCGATTTCTTTTTGTGTTTTTATGATAGCAATTGATCATTCATTAGTACCCAGAATAATTTTTCATGATGATGAGATATATTTCATAAATGAATAGTTTCGTCTATAAGATCATTATTAAACCCAGAATAATTTCATCGAAAAAATTTAAAAAAAGTTGTTATTATGTTTTCAAACTTTAGTTCAAATCAACATTAATGCCATGTAGATTGATACGATAGAGTTAAGTTTAGCAAACATATTAGAAGTGATCGAATACAGTCAATTAGCTTGTTGAATAATGAAAAAGAAAGCAAAACGATTTTTTTTTCTATCAGATCTATTTTCATGTCAACTTTTTGTGCCACGAGAACTTCTATGTATACTATATATTATAATTCTGATGAATAAACTTGAAATTTCAAGCTTATCAATCATATTTCTACAATTGTTACTAACAGAATGTTGAATATTTATTTATATTTTTAAATAAATATTCAATCTCACTCAAACTGTGAATACTTGAAATGAAAAATTGTTTCTTTTTTTTTCTTTCATTAAATCATGATCCATTAAAGTTTTATGAATGATTCAATGTATTGTGAAACACAGCATCTCTGTAATCAGTCACGTACTCACTTGATATTCATCATTTGTGTGCTTTTTATTTTAACAAAATACGTACTTTGTGTCGCGATACTCTAGAGAGCGGAAAGTTGCTTAGAAATTCGCTCGAGTTATATCAGAGAGATTCACATCTTGAAATAATACAAACATTTTTGAATCTTCAATACAAGTTTCTATTCATCTTCAGTAAATTTCACAAAACATTGATTTTTGACGATTTAACATTCATCTGTTACCTTTAGTGCCCTGCGGTTCCTATAATTACCCGGGAACCGAACCGGAACCGTCGGTTCCGGTTCCCAAAATTTGTTTTAGGAACCGGTGTTTTTACATTGATACAGAAAATATTGAGTAAGATATTTTTTAATTTCTGTATTCCTTTTTTGAGATTGTTCATGTTTATTATTTCATAAAAAAGTTTGAAAAAATACGATGAAAGATGAAAGAATGAGAAAACATACTATTATAAAATATGTTCACATGAAATTATTAATATTACAAAGTTTTTAAAAAAATCGACTTCATCATTTTCTTCGGAATCATTAGGGTGTGGATGTGGATGTGGGTGTGAGTAGGTGTTGGTGTGGGTATCAGTGGCTGCAGAAATACATGTAGTCTCACTCACAGTCACAGCAACACCCAACCCTTAAGTTCTTATTGCTTCCAATAATTTATTTTAGGGGTAGCAATTGCTAACTATTGCATTGCTGGCGCGCCGCCTATGGTTTTAAATATGAGCATGAGAAATGCATAAAATGCATCACTACACAGGTCATAACCTGTGTCCACATATTATTCTGTTGCATTTGAATAATTTCTTAGCTATCATTAAAAAAGTTCGGTTCCAACAGTTCCGGTTCCGGTTTCGGGTAATAGAAATTGAAAAAACCGGTTCCCGGTTCGGTTCTCGGTTCCATTTTTTTTTGGAGCCGCAGGGCTCTAGTGAGCGTGCTCCGTCTTAAATATATTCTGAGTTTTCACTAACTCATTCATATCTTTTTTCAACTGTTCTGAGCGGTAAAGACTGGTTACTCAAAATAAAATACAGTACAGCATGAAGTTAAAGGCTGAAGTGAACGTTTTTCTTATGAAACAAAATCAGAAGTGAGAAATGCATTCATATCCTCAAGTTCTTGTTTTCATTTACATCGATATTCACTTCTTTATCTAACACCGATACAAATATTGAGAGAAAAATGAATTATAAAAAAGATGAACATCTATTATCATGATAAAAAAAATATCGATGTATGCATTCGCAAGTGCAACCCTTGACAACAACACTGTGCTCCAGTCCAGCGTCATCAGCAACAAGCGAAATTGATCAGATTCAAGACGAAGAAAAACATCAAGTGAATTCTGGATCACTTGTTTTATTTATAGAATATGATATGATTCCTTTTTTTTGTCGCTGTTTATAGAAGAAACTAAACTGTATACTTTTGCCTATGAAATAAAAGTTTGAAAACTGTATTGTGATTATGACAGTATCTGCCGGATGTTGATTAACTTTTGTCAGGTACTGAGTATAGGAATCTTGGTTCTAGTGTAAGATGGCCAAGTTCGGTTAAGAAAAATCATACTCGCTAGATAAGTATTTCGACTAGGATAGTACGATCTAAACCGATGAACATTCGAAATAATCATTTTTTTTTTCTTTCATAAATGCAAATCATGAAAAATAACAGTTTTATTTCATAACAACTCAAGGTTACGAAAATTGTTTTTTTTCGCACATTATTAACAAATCATTTACCTTTAAAGGATTATTATCATAAGCCATTGAAAAAAAAAATGAAAGCAAAAATTGTTTAAAAATAGATACATAATCTAGAGGATAATGTATACAATAAAAGGTCAAAACAGATTAAAAAACTTACACATGGCAAGATAACATCAATCACGAGCTATTCTTTCTAGTAGTTATAACAATGAAACATATAAATCATTTGCACGAAAAATCTCTTTCAATTAACATCAACAACACATAATAAGAAAGATTAAGAACATTTATTCTTATCTAACAGAAGATCAATGGATTAAATGTTCGCAACAATTAAATAACATTTTGTATAAAACAAAAAAAATTGATATGTTTTCATATATTCTATATTACTGTTATGGCTGTTGTTCATATACGTTTTCAAATTCCTATTCTTAGCGTATTGATTGATGTGTTTGATTTTTTTTTATATTTCCTCACTTATATTCAATGCGCTTCATGCAGCAACCTTTCGGAAGTGATGTGGTAATAAAATCCTTACTACATACGCATGTTCTTACTACCTAACACCTTTCTTTTTCTTCTCTTTCAACTTGTATTACTATACACAATTGCTCTCCCAACGATGATACAATCATTCTAATATAAATTCTTTCTTTGTATTTCTTTTTTTTTTTTTTTATGTTCCTATGTAGAAGTTGTTCATTAAATAACATCTATTGATCATTAGTGATTTTTCAATAAAAAGAAACCAACGATGACAACAGATACTTTTGAACGTCAAACAACAAATAGTGGTAGTGGACGTCGACGAAAATGTATCGATCTCAAATCAACACCAAATGTGTGTCTTTTTATTTTTTTTTCCTCATTTTCTTTTTTTTTTTTTTTATTTGTCTTATCGCTAAAGTTTATGAAGGTTATTGAGGCCTCGACATTTTTCACAAATCAACATTCGAGAAGAGATAAATCTTTGCATACATACACATTAAAAAATGAGTTTTTCTTCAACTTCAACATCTTCTAATATAACTCCAAATCCTTTTTTGAGTTTATTAAAAAAACAAAATAGTTCTTCTAATTCACTTACACGTGATGTACCATCTGTGCATCAAAAACGAACTTCTATTGATTCTACAACATCAAAACCATTAACATTCCAGGAAACAATTGGCTTTTCAACGTTACCTGATCAAATACATCGAAAAACACTTAAACGAGGATTTGAATTTACACTTATGGTTGTCGGTATGTATTTGAATTTCTATCTGTATGTTTCATTGAAAATTGTATTCTTTCAATAGGCGAACATGGTCTTGGTAAATCAACGTTTATTAATACTTTATTCATGACAGAACTTTATGCTGATCGACCACCATCTGCTCGACGTAAAATAAACTAGAATATCAAAAATGAAACATAATTTTTAATATTTAGTTCATCCACCCAAGACAGTTGAAATCGAAACTCGTACCGTTGAATTAGAAGAAAAAGGTGTTAAATTACGTTTAACTGTTGTTGATACACCAGGTTTCGGTGATGGAATGAATTCTGTTGAATGGTTTAATTAGTGTTTTTTTTTAGTTTTTATTTTCTTTTTGTTAATTTTCTTTAGTTGGAAACCAATACTTGATTTTGTTGATCAACAATTTCTTAAATATTTTCAAGCTGAAACAAGTTTTGGTATTGAACGTAAATATGTTCAAGATCAACGTGTTCATTGTTGTTTATATTTTTTACCACCAAGTATTCGAGGGTAAATCAATTTCATATATTTTTTCAATAATTTCCGTTATTATTATTATTATTATTTTTTGTTTTAAATAAAAGTCTTCGACCAATTGATCGAGATTTTCTTTATCATCTTCAACATAAAGTTAATATAATACCTGTTATTGCTAAAGCAGATACTTTACTTAAAAGTGAATTAATAGCATTAAAAAAACAATTATTAAGTGATATTGATAAATATGGAGTACAATTATATGATTTTCCTGAAGGAGATTCCGAACATGATGAAGATAGTCAAACACTTGATAAAGTTTTACGAGTAAAAATTTTTCATTTGATTTTGTTTATTTTTTTTCTGCCTTCTTTGAAAAAAAAACACATAGGAGTCAATTCCATTTGCTATAATGGGTAGTAATACAACACTTGAATCAAATGGACGTAA